TTTTTGTTTTTTTTTTTGATGAATTTATAATAATTATTTTTTTCTTGGGACGGGGGAGGGGGGGGGGGGGGGGACTCTAAAATCGTACTTAGAGTTTTCCAGACAATAGTGGACAACACAAAAACATGCAAAAATTACTAAAGGTTTTTTTTGTACTGTTATAACCATTAATCAATCTCCCCTTCAGTTCAACCTAGAGACGCATAGTTGATGTTACCATCATGCAATAACCTGCAATTATTGGCAAAGCTCAATGTAATTTTCACAGGTGGTGGAACATTATTGTCAACAGCTGCTAAAAAGTAACTAAAAGTTACTTTTAATGTAATTTAGTTACTTTCCAAATCAAGTAATCAGCTACTTTTAAGTTACTTTTTCAAGGAGTTATCAGTAATCTGATTAAAGTTACGTTTTTCAAAATAACTATGCCATCACTGCCTCATGGAGTTTAAACATAACTAAAGGGTCTAAATCCACTATTTAAAGATGTTTTTGGGCATAAAATAAGGTTAGTAAAAAAGCAACCATTTAAAATCTTATTGCTTCATCAAACTAATGGCAGCAAGCAAAGCAGAGCAGGTGCAGTTCTGAAGTATTGCTGAGAAAGAGCTGGGACAGTCTGCTCCTCTCTCCTCCTGCTCCGTTGCTGCAATTCCCCTGACAGACGGCAGGGGGAGGCGGTGAACCAGGCTAGCTGCACCCATTCCTGTTTAAACGGTCCCACGGCAGGCTGGCAGGTTCAGAGTGTGCTCGGCACCGGCCTCCGGGACGCGTCTCACTCTCCGTCCGGGATGGAGAAAGACGCCTCAGCGCCGGACCCATCCCGGCAGTGCAACGGGTTCTCGGGCGTGCTGTACGGAGAGTTCACCGACACTCTCAACGACGGGGTGCGCTACTCGGTGAGCCTGACGGAGAGCGCCCTGACCATCCAGAGGATCTCCTCGTCTCCCGACCGGACGAAGGTGGTGTTTAACTTGAGCGACTGCATCGGCTGTCGGGCGTATAAAGGGCCGGACAGCGCGGACATCGGCGCTTACTTCGCGGCTTATTTCTACCCGTTCAAGAGGCGCTGGATGAGCACCGGAGTGGCCCGGCAGAGGGTGGAGCAGTGCTTTCGGGTCGCTCTGGTCCAGGACCCGCTCGTCAACCTCCGGGAGGCTGAAAGATGGGCTCATGCCATCAGAGATGCTTCGGTGCTGCAGGCTCCTCGGAGAGACGGTGAGGAAGGACAAACACTCTGGATCATGTAAACTTAAAATCTAACTTTAGATAATGCATTTATTAATAGAATAAATTATTGTATGCCCATGAAGCCAGATTCAGAGACTTTTTTCATTAAAAAAAAAAAAAAGTTTCTCACATTTGTGTAAATTTCGATCTGACTCAAAATCTTCCTCCTTGTTGGATACAGTTGTTATACAGCTAAAATCAGTATTATTTTAGAATTTGATGAGATTGCTGTTTGTGATGGATAATTGTTTATTTACTTCTTTTTTCTTTTTATGTATTTTTTTGCAAACTGAATCTGAGAAGTTGTCCATTTGCATTGAACCCTTTAATCTCTTTGCACATCTATAGTTGTACATTTCTGTTAAATTTTCTCTGTCGTTGCTCCAAGCTCAGTCAGATTTGATGGACGCCACTCTAAGAGATGATTTGCTTTGCTGTAAGCCGCTGTAGCTCTGCCTGCATGGTGAAGGTCCTCATCCTGCTGGAAGGTGAACCTCCAGCCCCATCTCAGTTTTCTGTGGCCGCTGTAGATTTCTTCCAGGACTGGACCCTGCTGGTCTTCATCCATCTTTCTTTCAACAATGATCAAAAACATTCTGCTGCTACCATGTTTCATCATAGAGTTACTTTGTTTGTGGTGTTTTTTTTTTTTGTTTTTTTTAACCATATGCTTTATGGCCAGTTGGTCAGTTTTTCTTCTCGTCTGACCAGAATCTCTTCTTATATGTTTGATGTGACTGCTGGCAAACTGTATTTCTCAAGAAAAACATTCCCTCAGCACACGGCTGATTTATTTAGTTTTTTTTTCTTTTCTATTTTAATCCTTGTATTATCACCACTCTATGCTTGGGTTTCCCTTGAATTCCCCTAAAGATCCATAAAGTTTTTGTGGCAACATGTTAGGAACTACATGGGGTATGAACACCGAATGCTAGCAAGGCACCGCAACTCTTATCGCTAGAAACAGGTTTGACAAAGAGGCAGAGGTGCACATTCCATCCGCTCTCTAACCGGCTCTGCCTGCATGGGAGGGTGGAAAGTGAGCTCATCCAGTAACGTCTGCTATCTACCGTTAACTGAACATTTCGTGCCAGTTCACAAGCCTGAGGAGAGAAGGGGCTGAATCTGAATCTAGATCTTGATCAGCATCTGGAGTGTGCTGTCAAAGATCACCATAAGCAGTTAGATCTCCAGCTCGATCCTCTGTCAGCAGCTGAGTGTTAACAAGCGTCATTATTTCAGCTGAGTAAATTCCCGGTGAGACTGAACTCAGGTTGGGTGGAAAAAAAAAAAAAAAAAAAAAAGGGAAATCAAAACAACGGCTGTTTGTCATTTGCCTCCACAGCAGCCTCTTCTAATTGGGTATCATCCTCTTGTTCGGTGTAAAATGCGACTCACTCTGCAGTCTGGTTGGTTTCTCTTTACTCCGCTTCGGTAAACATCGCCGACAGAGTCATTAGCATGAATAAAAAATTACAAGGAACGACGACGCATCTACGTATTTACTGTGCCTTGGAAAAGTAGCACTGCTTGAGCTTTTTCTAATCGGCAAAGGATTTTATTTGATAGATTAAAAAAAAAGTAAAGGATGAGTTGTTTCGATGAATTTTTGACAAATAATGTGTGCATCCCCTTTTATTATGAACTAAAAACACAAAGAAGACCAAGGAGCACAGCAGACAGGTCAGAGGGAAAGCTATGGAAATATTTCGTAAAGCATTTTTCAGTCTATCATAAAAAAAAAAAAGGAGATTCTGTTGACGGGGCTGAACTCCACAAGTTGGGTTAGAAGATCAAAGTGTATTCATGTCTCAGAATATCCCAGTAAAAGTCGAAATCTTAATCCAATGTTGAACTTCTATGGTAAGACTTTGAAAACCGATGTTCACAGAAGACGCTCTATCCAAACTGAGTGAGCCTCAGCTGTTTCATATGGACACATATAAAAAAAAAAAATCCACTTCTTAGCTGTGTGTTTGCACATTGAGTGACAGTGAAATACATTGAACTTGTAGTTGTAATGTCACACACACAAAAGAAAACAAATATAGAAAAGGTACATTCATTCTGTTTACAAATCTGTCTCCAATGCTGTTTATCATAGCGGGAGGGAGGAGCAGATTGCTAATACTCCACTCCAGGTCAGGAAATACTCTTTTATATTTGTTTACACTGTAAAGCAGGGATGAACTCAGTCGTTCAGCTCAGAGAAGAGGCGGATATTTGACTTGGCAGTGGCCAATTGGGAATGTTGACCCGCCGGAGTGGTGGGGTGGGGGGTGGGGCAAGAATGAGCTGTGGGGTGAGGAATGAGGTTGTGATCCTGGCAGCAGCCTCCAGGTGTACACTGCAAACATGGAGAGAGAGAGAGAAAGAGACAGAGAGAGAGAGAGAGAGAGAGAGAGAGAGGGAGAGAGAGAGAGAGAGACTGGGAGCTGTGTGAGGAGAAACATCCAGCCAGCCAGTCAGCCTCCCTCCCTACAGTCCGTGGCCCGCAGGAATTTGAGATTCAGACCTGTGTGCCAGGCAGGCAGGCAGATGGTAACCTGTGAGGTAACCTGCCTCCCTCCCTGTCACTGTCCTCCCTCTGGACTCATCAAAGAGCTCCATCTTGGGAGGGCTTGTCCCTGCTCTCACACCGCCTCTTATTGCAGTCTCCTTTCTGAGCACAGTCTCTCAGCGATGATGGGATCAGATGATTAATTCATAAGCTTGTTTTAGCTCTTCAGATCTGCTGTTTAACGGAATGTTTCATTCGCTTTTAAATGAGTCCTATTTTCCTAATGAATGAACCGGAATTGTCCTTTTTACTCGTCGCAGAGGGTGCAAGAAAGTCAGCGAGACTCGCTAATCCCTCACGGAGGACTTCCCTCAAGTTAATTGCATGTCATCTCATCTGGGGACTGCAGATGGAAAGGTTGGATTAAAAGCGAAATTACTGCGCGAGCTTGGTATTTGGGGAGACAGGCCGTCGAGGGTGACTCGACACGTCATTACAAAATATGACGGAATTACTTGCATTGGAGATGTAACTCTCCTAATTTAGCCTGCGATATGAAATCCATTCAGAAGCTGCTTAGGGTTTTTCTTCTTTTGGCAGATGAATTAAAAGAGTTGCAGGCAATGACATCCGCGCCCTGCCTGGCAAAAGTATTCACGCCTTGGAATTTCTTTCACTTTGTGTCACGTCGAAACCAAAAAATGGCTCTATAGGGATTTTTTTTTTTTTGCGATAGACCAATTCAGAGTAGTGCACAATTGTGGAGCGACGTAAAAACACACGTGTTTTCGCAAGTAAAAGTCTGAAAAAGTGTGGCATACATTTGTTATTCAGTCACCTGAGTCAATCGATAACTTACAGAACGACCATTTTCTGCAGTGGCTGCTGAAATAGCCTTTTTGGGGTGTGTCCCTCTGAGCTTGGCGCACAGTTACTTCCGCATGAAAATTCTCTGGAACATTTCAAAGTGTAAATGTCGTGAAAGCTGAAAACATTCTGATGCACAAGTAATTCCTGCTGGTGGCAGAGCCCACGTCACAGAGAGACAATAAAAGAGCCATAAGCCCCATTAAAATGAGTGTTTTTCAGCTGCCTCCGGGTCAGGTGAGCCTGTCACTGAGCGAGCCTCCTGGGTGGGGACTGAGCTGTGGCTCATTCGGCAAGGAGCTAAGATGCGTCACCAGGCGACCTTTCACCCCAGCCAGCATCTCAGTCCCACCGGAGCGCTCGTCTTGTTGCTCCGTGACACATGGATGTGATGGCCTGTCAACGCCCCCCTCGGCTCCCGCCGCCGCCACCGCCCAGCCCCCTCTCTCCTGGTGCTGTCTCTGCGGGCAGCGGTGTTTATTCTCCGCGGCCCTCCTCCCCTCCTCTTCAGCAAACACTCAGACAGCGGCTTGTTTGCAGTCTGAATATAGCCGCCGCCTTCGCCGCTCCCGAACAGGAACGCTTTCACAGAATATCTGCTTCTGTTCCAGCGTTTGTCTTGAATGCTTCCCGTGTTTTAATAAATCCCACTTTGGTGCCGGCAACATGTGATGGCGAAGGTCTAATAAAGGCTTTATGTTCTGCTCTGGGTGGTTGCAGCGTTTGTTGTCAGAAAGCCACTTGTTTGCTCTGACGCATTGTCACATCCAGTCCGCCTGTCACCTCACTGTGTGTGTGTGTGTCTTTACTTTCTTGCAACTGTGAAATGCACACATCACTGCAGAAACGTTGATGGACAGGATGTGCCTGCAGGTTTATGACTTCTTGCCTGAGACAGATTTCACACACACAGCACGTACTGTCTCTGACAGAGAGAAATCTATGAAAAGAACTTTACTTACTGAGAGTTTGACGCTGTTTAGCTGTATTTCAATCAAGGTAGGACGATGGTGATGATTTTAAAGATAAAACTTAGGTCTTCAAAGGTCTCTCTTTTACTTTTTTCATATTTTGGCGTTTTACAGACAGACTGACACAACATCATGTGTGGATCCAGTCCACTTAACTGAAATACCTCTAAATAAAATCCAGCGTAACCTTTGAGAAGTAATCCAGTTAGCAGAGTACGGATCTGCTCTGGTCAGATGAGACAAAATCTAAACTTTACGGCTAACACACAGAATGCAACCTATAGAGTTTTTGCCGAGGTCAGGAAACCCACTCGGCTGGTTTACTGAGGAAGACTCACCTGACGACCTACATCTGTGGGTCCCATATTTCTTTCTTTCTATGAATTAGTCAGACTGAGTGACTCCACAGTCAGTTGTATCCACAGACCATGCCCATTAACGGCTGTTCTCCCACTATTTTGTAACTTGCTCTCGACTCTGAGTCAGATTTTATTTAGTGACTCATGCGGAGCCCCAGGGGTGTTGTTTTATGAAATTTGGGCTCAAGGCAATCTTTAAAAACCTCTTATAAATTTACAAACCAACCACAAAGGCAGTTTTATCACCACTGAAGAATTTAAGTTTACAAGTGACTCAAATAATTGAAGGTC